TTGAAAAGATATATTTTTTTCTATTTATTTTAAATTATTTAAATTTATGTAAAAATTTATTTTGATTACCTTTTGATAAAGTCGTGAAAATACTTAAGATAAAAATTGAGCTTTCATGGGCTATGATTCTAGGCCTAAGCTTGAAAAATAAAATTTGTATTTGAACTTGATTGTTAAGCTTGGATGACGGTTGAAAATTTATCTGAAAAAACAATCCTTTTATTTCATGAAAGACTCTATATTATTCAACTCAGTACGTGTATAAGAGAAAAACAACATATATAATAGTGAATTATTGTTGATAAAAAAATTATTGAATCTTCTAACATGTTTTATTTACCTTGTGACCTAGGTATTTATAGTTTATGGTCACATTAGCTCAGCTTAATATGTGGGCAATTGTATAATAATTAATTAGTGAAAATATTGGTGCTTATTATTGATTATAATGCATGCTATGTTAGTGATGGAGAATTTAGTGATTGTTAGTGTCATGTTGGCAATACATTACCATTGACAAGAAAGGAGGTGCACGCTCTGCATAGATTGTGATGTGTATTTGCATTGCAGCCATTGAATATAAATATGGTGACAACTTTGCTTAAAAGTGTGTAATTATAGAAAATTTATTGGTAAAGCATAAACAATTATATATATATGGCAATGCATGCACTCTATTCTGATTTCTTGAAACTTATAAATATATTGAGTATAGTTTGTATAGCCTGTGTGGTAAGGAGAGAAAAAAAAAGTAGGAGTAAGAGACAATTTAGGCAGGATGAGTCTAGTCATTTGGTCATTTGGGCCTAGGCCGAGTGTCTAGAGTTTTTTTTAATCATATATCATTATTTTTATTTTTAATTAAAAAAATATGATTCTAATAAAAAATTTGTTAAAAAAAATAAATGAATTATATATATATATAACATTTAAATCATAGTCTTATATACAAATATTTATTTTAGTTAAAAAGACTAAATAAAAATAAATTTTAAAAATTACATTGCAGTGGTACACAGGTTAATAACTAATGTTAATATATATTAGGATCAAGGAAGATTACCTCTTATGTTTTTCATATGAAACTTTGTGTAAATGTGACTTATTTTTGTAGCAAAAGTCTTCCATATTCGATTTATTTTTTTTCCTTTTGAAAAGGAAAAATGCAGTTGCATTTTTCCAAAAAAAAAATCACATGTTTCTTGGTAAGATCAAGACACAAGTATGGTTAATCATGATTACAGTTTTAGTTATTCATTCAGTTAACAATAATCATAATCAAAATAAAAATTAATAATTATAACCAATATTTATAGTTATTCATTCAATTAACCATTAACCATCCATTTTTATTTATTTGATATTGACATCTATTTTATTTTTAAAGAAATCTAAGTGAACAGAATTTAACAAATATCAACAAAAACACTAATAATAGAAAAAATACTAGATATTAGCACTTGCTATATTGTAGATTTGTATTTTTCTCTATAGGAAAAACAATGTTTAAATACTATAAACATGTTTTAGATAAATAAAAAACAAATGACTTGAGTTATAATCTTGATTGAGTTTAATAAATTGATTTTATTTTAATTAGATGATAATGATAATAAACATACAGATTTTTTTTATAAAAAAAGACCATAATAACCTAGAAAAAGTATGTAATTGGATAAGAAATAGATTAAAAAAAAACTAGAATGGAGTTAATTTGAGATAATGTGATAAATATATAAGTTGGGTAATAAGAGACAATTTAACTTATATTAACCTGGAAAACATATGGCCCATATGATAAGACGGGGTTAACCCAATATAAAAAAAAAAATTAAGAGAACCAGAAATCTTTTTTTATTTAAAAAACTAATGTTGAATGATAAAATAAAAATAAAAACAATAAGGCAAAAAAAAAGAACGTTACGCCATAACAACTTTTCAAACCACAACCAGGTTATTAGACTATAATCACCATACATATTAGACTATAATCACCATACATGGAAAAATAATGAAACTCAATCCCTGATAAATTTAACGTTGGAAGATGAATTATCACTATTATTATTAAAATTATTACTATTACTGTTATTATTGATATTATTGTAGTAGTAGCAGCAGCAGCACCGCCATCACCATCAACAACAACAACAATAATGCTAATGGTAATTATTATTATTATTATAACCATTATTGTCATTATTATTAGCAGTATCATCATCTATTAACATTATTATCATTACTACTACTATTACCACCATTATCACTAGGGACAGAATAATAAAAAAAATTAAGGGAGGCCAAATTAAAAGAATTATTTTAAAAGGGTTAAAATGTTAATTATTTTATACAAGGGAGGGGCTGGGAAAAATTTCCTTGCAGGGCCTTGGCCCCTGCCAGCCCTCCTCTCTCCGCCACTGACTATCACCATTATCATTATCACTACCATTACTACTACTATAAAAAAAAATCATAAACTTAATATGAAGTATGAAATTAAAATCCATAAAAACTTTAATAAAAAACAAAAAAAAAATCAAAAGAAAGATCAAATTGTATAAAAACTTTAATAAAAAAAAAAATCAAAAGAAAGATCAAATTGAAAAACATTATGTATGAAAAATTAGAATTGAAGATAAATAAAACTTTAACAAAGGGAAAATTGACCACCAATAAAAAAATCAAAACCAAAAGGACTAAATTTAAAACACCAATAACAATGATGACTAAAATTCATTTTTTAGTAGGAGAGATAAATGAAAGAAGAAAGAAAGTTCCACTGGTAATAAATTGGTCACTGGAAACTCACACATCCCATTAAAAAAGGAAAAGTACATGACAAAGAATCAAATGATACGGAGAAAGTATTCTTCACTAATAAAAGACAATTCTCATATGTTTGTGTTTACACAACATCCGTCAATAACTTTTTTAATTAACATAATATTAATAAAATATGAAATGATATTGTTACCCTTGATCAAATCAACAATTGCAAAAAAAAAAAATCCGAGATAAAAGACTTAGATGCCCTTAATTCTATGGAATTTTTTCACCAACGACATATTTGTAATTTAATTGTATATAACAAAGGAAAAGACTTACATATCTCTACTCGATAATGTTAGTTTTTTCTATTTGAAGGTATTTTGATCATTTTATAATTAAAATATAGAAAAGATGAAAATACCTCAAACAAACTTATAATGGCTAATGTATTGTATAAAAAAAATAAAAATATTTCTAGTTCAAAGACAAACAACCTTTTATCTTAGGAAAGGCTATAAATATCATCATTTAACTATTATAATAAATAGTAAAATAAGTTTATAGCTACAATAAATTCCGTTTCCACTTTAATTTTTTTATTTTGTTATATATATATAATAACAACAACAACAACTAAGTAGATTTTCCATATAAAAAATATTCTGAAGGTTTAAGATTATTCATACATGCATGATAATAACAATCATATATAGGTTGTTCCAACATGGAAAAATATGTATTATTTTTTTAATTCAGTTATCATGAAAACTATATTTAGAAACATAATGAAAAATCAATAATTTGATTACATTATTTATAATTGAATCATAATCATTTTTTAACTAAAAAATCTAACTATTTTGCTAAGCTTGAATGGTCATTTTATTATTCATTAAAATCTAGAAAAGATAAAAAAAAATACACCCAAACAAACCTATAAGAACTAATGTATCATATAAAAAAATATTAAAAATATCTTTGGTTCAAAGACAAGCAATTTTATTTTTGGAAAGGCTATAAGCACCATCATTTTATTATTACAATAAATAGTAAAACAAGTCTATAATCACAATAAATTCCGTTTATATATATATATAACAACTATTACTACTACTAAATGGATTTTCTATATAAAAGATATCCTAAAGATTTAAGAATATCCATACATGATAATAACAATCATATATAGGTTGTTCCAACATGGAAAAATGTCTCCATAACATGATAAAAGTTATATATATATATATATTGACTAGTTATTTATAATAGAATGACATGATTGTGATTTGACTAGTATTTATAATAGAATGACATGATTGTGATTTTTCAAAACTAAATATGAAAAAATACATTAATCTTTTAATTGGGTTATCATGAAAACTATATTTATAACCATAATGAAAAATCAAGAATTTGATTATATTAATCATAATTGAATCATAATCACTTTTTAACTAAAAAAATCTTAACTATTCGGCTCAGCTTGAATGGTTAACCATCGATTTTGATTACCATTGTCATCCTAACATGCACGATCCACAATATGAACACAAATCTTCTTCTTCTCGTTTTGTTTTGGTGACTAATCTTACAATCAAGTGGATTCGTTGATGATTTTTGCCAGCGAACACCAACTACATGTCCACTTGTCCACAATATTTGCATGTTAACAAGTCATTAGGGTGTCCATAGCCATAGGTATAAAGCCTGACAACTTATCAAGAAAAGCAAACAATAATTAACTTGGGATTCATAATCTAATAACTATACATAATCATGCCCACAAAAAAAAAAAAGGTACGGTTGTAAGTGGATTGGTTCTAACATCTATAGCTAGGTTCACCGAATGATTTGTGATTCAAAAACTAATTAAATCTACAAGTGTCGCTTCCTTTAGACTCTGTTCTTGATAATGTTAACCGCCCCAAACTCCGCGTAGCTCCCACCAGGTGGAATGCAGAAAAAGAAGCAAGCTCTCGAATACAAGCCACTCTGGAGCATGTGGTTTGGTGGAGTTGGTCGACGTAGTGATCTCAGACCCCATATACTCAAAATATAAGGAACATTTAATTAGTTAATGCTAGAGCAAGTACGGCAGGTGGTATATATCTCTTTTGTAAACAACCCTAATGCTTGGCTAGGGAGCTCTTGTGCCAACAACAGCTGGCCGACTGTCACTATATTTTTATATTGCTGCCATGCATATAAATACCCTATTCAGTCTTCTCGAATATATGCACATTCAAGACATTTGCAAGTGCTCAGGCCTCTCTTAAAAGCTTTCGATCCCTTTTATACTATAGAAGTACTATAACATCTCATTTCCCTCTAGCCAAAATGAAGGCAGGTCCCATTGAGCTCGGTGAAGGAAGGCGTTCAGCCCCCAAAGCCGCGGTGAACAGAGGGGTGGCTATACTTGACTTCATCTTGAGGATACTTGCATTCATTGGTACCCTGGGGAGTGCAATTTCCATGGCAACTACTAATGAAACACTTCCTTTCTTCACACGGTTTATTCGGTTCAGGGCCGAGTACGATGATCTTCCAACGTTCACGTAAGAATTCTGATATGCATTAGTTCTTCGCTGTTCATAAGAGTTTTTTTTTTTTTTGTTCATGTTTACTGCATGGATAAATATTTTCAAACTGCCCTGTCAACAGGTTTTTTGTGGTTGCCAATGGCGTTGTAAGCGCCTATCTGCTTTTTTCTCTCCCACTTTCCATCTTCAACATTGTGAGGAGCAAAGCACAAAACAGTAGAATTCTTTTGATCATCCTTGATACGGTAACACTAAAGCTTAATTATAAGCTATCATGCAATTCCTGAAGATAAACTTATTTTCTAATGCACGAACAAAAAAGTTCTATAAAAGTATAGACAATCATGGGTGCTTTCAAATAGCCAAGCAAACAGTGGTGAACACATAAAATGTATTATTAACTTTTAAACCACGGATTATCTGAAAACAAAACATTCACTTTGTCAAGGCACAAACTACACAAAGATTAAACATCATGAGATTTCTAATGGAATTGAGGTTACCATCATGTAGGCAATGCTTGGTCTTTTGTCGGCCGGAGCTTCTGCAGCGGCAGCTATTGTGTACTTAGCACACCGTGGGAATGTGAGGACAAATTGGTTTGCCATCTGCCAACAATTCAACTCCTTCTGCGAGCGTATCTCTGGCTCCTTGATTGGATCCTTCATTGGAGTAGTTGTGCTCATACTGCTAATCTCGTTGTCTGCAGTGGCTGTTTCTCGCCATAAATAGATCACAAGTGCATAATATGATTGGTGCAATATTAATATCTGTCAGTTTATGTTTGCAAGAGTGACATTGTCGAGGAGTGTGACTTATGTTATCTTATTTCCAAGTTTGTCTATCTCAGCTTTGATATGTAATGCATGGTGTTCCATTTTTTTTGTTTTTGTTTTTTTATGTATTAATTTGCAATGTCAATGTTACAGTGACTACAACTCTTCTGTTACTCCTGCTGTTTGTGTGTCTATAAATTATATGAATAATATACCAAGTGAACAAGAGCTACCGAATTGTAATTTACTCACACCAAACTCCGAGGCATTCGATTCCAATTCTATGCCATGTAAACCAACACAAATCGCAATTTTTATACCGTGTCAATTATCATGTCACTCTCATTTGGGAGCTTCAAAATCTTCGTCAATGAGACTAGATATCTGCATTTGAAATTTTATCAGAATATATTTTAAAAGTATATTTAATTTTAAAAAATATTAAATAGATATTTTTTTATGATTTTAATGTGTTGATATTAAAAATTAAAAAAATAAAATAATTATTTTAATATATTTTCAAATAAAAAGAGCACAATACCAAACATAAACAGGCTTAAAAATTAATTAATTTAGGTGATTTTAATTCATCAATTATAGTGATGCATTGGTTGGAACATCAATTGATCTTGCCTTAATTTTTGGATGATTTTGTTCTTGTTATGAAATGATATGGATTGGGGCTCATTGCAAATAAAGGTTTGGTGTTTATTCTTTTTTTGTATAATTTGTTTTGTTTGGACTCTACACAATAATCTAATTTTTAATAAAAAAAGAAACAAATTAACTGGGATAATGTGTATTTTTTCATTTGAAAATTTACAAGTAGAATGATGACATTAATACTAAAATCTTATAAAAAAATTAGAAAAACAGTCATTTATTTATGCCACTTCACCAATTAAGATGAGAAATATAGATTCGCAATTTAAATTTCATGCTCACAAAATGCCTTGAAGAAAAACATGTTAAATTTAATTAAATAAAACTCATATTTCATGCTTATACTCACAACAGTAATCACATTTTTTTGTGCACAAGATTTTAGTGTTCATGTCATCATTTAATTAATATTGAACAACTTAATTGATAAAAAATTAAAGTTTATATATCCAATTATGAAAAAAAATTAAATACCTAGCTAGTTAGTTATTCGATCGTTGAGTTGTGTTATTATTTAAAAAATAATAATATTATTATTTTATACTGAATAATAAATAGAAAAGAATTTAGTGTCAAAAATTATAAATATGAACTAGAAAAGAATTTACATATATATATATATATATATATATGAATGAAATATATGTTTGCAAAATCTATATTCATAACTATAAAATGGCACTCCGTAAAAACCTTTGACTAGAATGGACCATTGGCGTGTTTGGGCCTCAAAGTCAAGGCATATGCCTGGTTTGTTTTTCTCAGAAGCGGATGATATATTATCCGTTCCTTTTTTCTTTGTTTTTTTTTTTTTTCTAAATTAGGCACCAGATAGTCTACTACGGTACAGTGCAGAATCTGGATGTCGTTATGACGGCCAAAAAAATTAAAGAGGAGATTGGTTTAAAAATTTATTTTTAAATTTTTTTTATTTAAATATACTTAAAAAATTATAAAACCTTTAAAACTACTTATTATTGCGCATACTGGACCGAAAGCAAACATAAATAAAACACAAACAACAGATTTATGTGGTTCTCCAAAATCGGGTACGTCCATGGAGGCAGCAGATTGTATATTATTGGAGGAATGATACAAACACTCAACTCAACCCAGTACAATCCCACAAAACCCGATGTTTCACTCTTACACTCGGTGTTTCTCTCAAATCTGCATTTTCTCACTCTCACAGTTGCACTCACCACACTTTCACCTTTTTGCTCTCACCACACTTACAATATACTTATTACATACTATTTCTATCTCTATTTATAGGAGAGCCTTGACAACTTTTTGCTCTTACCACACTTACAGTATACTTATTACATTGCTCTCTTTTTATCTCTATTTATAGGAGAGCCTTGACAACTTGGTTGAGGGTGGTTGATGGTGGTTGGAAGTAATTGATGGTGGTTGTTAAAAGAGAGGGTGGTTGATGATAGTTAAGAAAAATGTTGACAAAAATGTTATGTTGACAATTTGCTACACCTATTAATTTCAAAACACTCCAAAATCACTCAAAAAATAAAAATTAATCAAATCAAAAAATAAAAACAAACTCTTCTCGTGTAATTGAATGTATTTGAGACCATGATGGAATTGAATCTTTACAATAAGATCAATTACTTTTGTTGCTAGATATAGCAAATCAATAACATATTTTTTTTATAATTTTTTATTTTTTATTTTAAATTCAAGGTTAAAAAATAAATAAAATAAGCTTTTGTACCCAAGTAAAATTTCTAAAATCTTCTAAAAAATGTTCATCTGAAAAATAATTTATTAATATTTTAATTTATTTTTTCAATTTAATTTCTAGGCAAAATCCAACATAGATATGCATGTTAAATACGTACTCGTATTAATCCGAGTAATACAGTCCAAAACACATCTACTTCATGTTACTTTTCTCCTTCACGAAGGGGTTACCTCATTGATGTGGACTACGCTATCATTGATAATTAAGCTTTCTTGTTTTGCATTTTGAAGCTTAGAATATGCTTTACTTCGATGCAACGACCAGAATAGGGAAAAGCAACAAGCTGCTGCTTGCTAGTTTTGTGTGCATTTGCAATTGACTGACCAAGACCCTGACAATCACCATTTTCACATACTTCCTTTACCAGAGAAACAATTGTATTTCCCCACTTTTCCTATAGAAAGATGACTGAGTTTTCCCTCAACATAGCTGAAAATGTTGTGGAGAAGTTATGCTCCCTGGAGTCTGAGGAGACTTCGTTGGCATGTTGCAATGAAGATGAGCTAAAGAAGCTTAAGCACAGCATGCTAGTCATTAAAGATGTGCTCATAGACGCCGAGGAGAAGCGGTCAAATTCACCAGAGCCAAGACTTTGGCTAAAGCAGCTAAACCATGTCTTCTATGATGCAGAGGATGTCCTTGATGAACTCGAGGTTGAAAATTTGAGGAGGCAAGTCATTGATCGAGGGAACTTCTACACAAGAAAGGTGAGTTACCTCTTACAACCATAAACTTTCTTTTGCTAGTTTCTTTGCTGTGTACTTGATGTTCTTTCCCTGATCAATAAATAGATTATACCTAAATTTATTTGATATCAGATTCCCATTTTGCAACTTTCTTGGTGCGATCTAATTTCTATAAATATGTATGTCCATTTTCTTTTCTTTCTTTCTTTGTGCCTTTGCTTTTCTTTTTTTCTTTTTCTTTTTATGAGAGCATGACGAAATAAATCATTCTTCTTCTTTTTTTAGATTATGAATTGTTCAAGAATAATGAGAATAGGCTGCATATGTTCAATTTGCAAAATTTGGCTAGGCAGCATGGGAAAACTAGACACTTTTAGATTAGGAGCCAACTTGAACTTGCTAAATCCCAAGTTTTTAGAAGATTTAGAGTGTGTTTGAGATTTTGCGGTCCAAATTGAGACTTTTGGCCCCTGATAGAATCATATTGGATAAATGAAAGTTAAATCCCAATCGATTTTTATCTATTTTCGAATTTCAGGTACTTCGATGTTTTTCATCTGCTAACCCTCTTATATTCCGCTCAACTATTGGCCGAAAGTTAAAGCGGATAAACGAAAGGTTTGATGCAATTGCAGCGGGTAATGTTGAGTCTCGGCTCACTGAACGTGCTGAAGAGAGGCGTCCTCTTAACAGGGAGAGGGGAACCCACTCCTATGTTCATTCTGCAGACATAATAGGAAGAGACGAAGACAAAGAAAAGATCATTCAACTTTTATTGCACCCTAGTGATGAGGAAAACATTTCAGTGCTTCCCATAGTTGGCGTTGGAGGTATGGGGAAGACAACACTTGCTAAAATGGCTTACAATGATGAAAGGGTGGTTAAGCATTTCCAGTTCAAAATGTGGGTTTACGTCTCTAGAGACTTTGACAAGAAAAGGTTGGTGGAGAAGTTAATTATTTCTGCTACTGGTGGGGTAGGATTTGGTGAAGACAATGGCAATATGGAAGTGGAAGAATTGCAAACAATCTTGCGAGAATCTATAAGAGATAAGAAGTATTTTCTTGTGTTGGATGATGTGTGGATTAATGATAACCTTGCACAATGGGAAGAATTGAAAGATCTTTTGCAGGTAGGTGCAAGAGGAAGTATGATCATGGTGACTACACGCAGCAACCAGGTTGCTTCCATGATAGGCACTGCCCCCAAGTATGTTCATAACTTACAAGGTGTTCGTTACGATGAATGCTTGTCCTTGTTTGTTAAGTACGCATTCAAAGAAGGACATGACAAAAAATATCCGAATTTGCTAAGAATTGGAAAGGAGATTGTGAAGAAATGTGGAGAGGTTCCTTTGGCTGTGAGGACTCTAGCAGGACAACTCTTTCTGAATACTGATGAACGAGATTGGAATCTGATAAGAGATAGCAGGCTATGGAAAGTGGAGCAAAAGGAGGATGATATTTTGCCTGCTTTAAGGGTAAGTTATGAACACTTGCCTTCGTGCTTGAAAAGGTGCTTTGCTTATTGCTCGTTGTTTCCGAAGAATTACGAGTACAATGATTATGAGTTAATTCAGTTCTGGATGGCACATGGACTACTTCAATCCTCAGATGGAGAATCAGAATTGGAAGACATTGGCTCCATTTACTTGAAGGAGCTGGAGTATGGATGTTTTCTTCAAGGTTTTAGAGATTTGTATGGATCTCTTCAGTTTGGAATGCTTGATGTCATGCATGATCTTGCATTATCAGTGGCACAAGATGAATGTTTTGTAGTGACTGCAAATAGCAAAAGAATCGAAAAAAGTGTCCAGCATATATCCATTCCAGATCCTGACTCAGTTCGCCAAGATTTTCCTATGTTGTCGCAGGATTTAGACCAGGTTCGAACTGTCTTCATTCATAGTGACAAGGATGTGCTTGCTAGCAACTCAATCCTTGCAACATGTTTGTCGAGATTCAAGTACTTGCGAGCATTGAACTTGTCCAGGTCCCAGTTCAAAGAGCTGCCTAAGAAAATTGGCAAATTGAAGCATTTAAGATATCTAGACTTATCATGGAATCA